TTTTAGTAGTGTTTTTAATTTTTTTTATTGCTATACCATATATATATATATTTACTTATATATACTTGCCTCTACAAATTTCTAAAAATAAAATGAACATGAAATCTAATTAGGTTCATAAAAGAAGAACTGGTTAAAGGAAGGGATATTAAATGACAGAGTGAATTAAAAAAACAATTATAGAAAATAATGTTTTGCCAAAATATATGTTGCTCTGAGGTGGTTCATTTCTGGAGTTGGTCACTGATACAGTCCTTGAGGATGCTGAGCAGTCCCTGTAAATTGCTGAACACATTAAACACTGATTTCCATGGGCAGCAAAAATATTCAAAACACAGTAATTTCCTGGATTATATGTGAACGGGAGATTACTGGATCAGAAGAATCATCCTCAGGGCACCATATACATCATTACAAAACATTAAAAAAATAAGAAAAGGAACAACAAAATAAAGAGATGGCATTTAATTTCCAGAATTTAATACTGAAGTCAAGGTGACACATAACTAGAAAGTCCAACCCAATCTCTTGAGAAAAATGGGTCAGATACCAACATGTTATGTACTACAAGAACTTGTTGGCCTTTTGAATTAGTCTAAATGTACACAGCTAGACTATCAGAATGATGATGAGTTGTTTCCACAGCATGAGGTAATTATATATGCAAACCTACAAGAATGTTTAGCTCATCTTGAGTATATTATTTTAGGTATTCACATTATTTCAAGTCTTCTTTTACATTAGTGGTAGCAATTTACACTGTTTCAGATCACCCCTCAAAGAAGGCTGAGCTTCCTCAGTTTAAGAAGTTTCTATAGTGGGAATTTTCTTAGCATCTTAGCAGAGCTGTAGATTTCCTAGGATCACTGTCAGTGTTAGCTAAAAAGTACAGGTGGAATGGCACAATTCAGAATGCCAAAAAAATATTAAGAAAAAGATTCTAAAATATTGAATTTGGATTACAGAAATTTACACAAAACCAATGAAGTAGGGATAATTCAGTAGAATCAAGACTATAAAAGTAATAAAACCCTAAGAAATTTCCCTGGACGCTCTGCAGTATTCACTGTTTCATGTTGAAAATGGGAAATCAAGCCCAGAAATATATTGAAACTGTAACACATTATTGACTTGCACAAACAAAGCACAAAAAAGTGGAAAAGACCGGAAACAGACAATACTTAGTACACATATAGTCTGCTCTGCAGTACTAGAAGACATCAAAGATGAGCCTTTTTTCTCTAGAGAGTATAGTATAAAAAACTAAGAAATGACAGTGCTAGTTGTTGACTGTGATGTGCATTTTTCCTGAAGATCATTGCTTGATCTCCAGAATATTTTCAAGACAATCGTGTGAATTACTAAAATGACAGTGCTCTTCACAGCTGAAAGATCAGCAGTGATCAGTTACAAGTAATGCTGTCAAATTAACGCTGTCCATACAGTGTTAAATATGGGGTTAAACACAGGGATATCTTCTATGGTCATGGAAGTAGACTTGAGCTATTTTCCAATTTCTTCGTAATCTAGTACATTTTGCAGTTATTAGGGAAAGCTATTATAAATGATTGGTCATTTTACTCTCTCAGATACTATGCTCATCTACACCAGTACCAGTCTGAAAGGAAATAGTGGGTAACTTGTAAATACTTGAGCTGAAAGTCTAAATCCAAACTTTTCTGGAAAAAAAACCCAAAACCAAAAACAATCAAATAAAAACCCCACAAACCTAAGAACAAGTTAGAGGCAGCTTTTAAAAATCTGCTCCATGAACTGCAATTATACTTTGAGAAATGTCTCAGTGGGACAATGCAGTTCTCTGCTGACTGACCCTCCTGTCAGCTCAGGTTCCTTCAGTCCACAGATAGAAAGACCCATCGCCCACTGATAACTGAGCAAAATCAGTCTGAAATCTAATGGTCAGGATAAGATCCTTCTGCTCCCATGTTATCACATCACTCCTCCATTCTTTTTTCCAAGAATGCAGTCACTCATGAGATTCTCACAGTTTAACATAAAATCAGGAAGGAATTTTAAGGTCAATCAGCCTTAAAATTATTTTGATTGTGTTTACTCTTTGAGATGGCAGTGTAGAATCTGCAGCTTTATAAAGAAATTTGAAATTGAATAAAGAACTTGAAATTTAATGAGGGCTAATAGACTCTGTGTATGCTTGAAGATATTCTGCCATCTTAAAACCAAAAAGATAAAAGAATACATTGGTTCTCTATATTTGGTTGAAATGTATTTATAATAGATATTAATATGCTTACCAAATAGACTAGAACCAAAGAAGATTTAAAACTATGTACATTGCTGTTTCTCAACAGCAGCTACTGCCACTAATTGATATTGTCTGTGCTGACATTAATATGCTCTGAAGGGAGACCTGTATGGGCACAGTGTAAGAAGTATTTCCTTTGGCAGCAGCCTTATCCACCCTTTTCTGCCCTACCATGGCCCACACTTTTTCCAACACTTTGTGCTCAGCACCTCATCCAGCCAACTGTGAAGTCCTCAAACTCTTGTGGAAGCATAGCTCACATAGCTATGGGGGTAAGAAGAGCTGTGGGTGAAGGCTGCTTAAGCCCATGGAGATGCCAAAAGAAATCCACATCAAACCATAGCCTCAATCAAGACCAGCCTGGCAAATCCAAGCTCCTAGTAGGTGGCCTACTGATCTGAACAACACACTGAAAGCCAAGAACTGTCTTCAAGACTGATCTTGCTTCTGATTTATGCATTTTCTTTTTTTTTTCCCCTCATCCTGGAATGCCTGGAACAGATCATGTTTTTTTCAAATACAATCTCTATTTCATGTTCCTGGGCAACTTTATTATCATGGTATTCACAGTTCTAAAATCAAGGTACCATCTAAATGGAGTAAAGGGTATCATTTCTGCTATTGACTGGAGGAATGTGATCCTAAGAATTGGATGCCTGACATGAACCACTTTGGAAAACAAATTTTAAAACGTGTTTTCTTTGAAAAACCATTTCAATTAAATGGCAATGACAGCCACAGGATGCATTTGCTTCCGCAAAATACAATAGAGATATTGCAACTTAAATATTCACCACTGAAGAGTATATATTCAAATTGAGAAGTATTTTGAAAGATGATGCATATTAAATATCCCTACTGAAAAGAAACCACGTGAGTAAGTAATAAAATCCACTGGGGAAAAAAAAATGATGTCTAGTAAGTAGCTTACTAAAACAAATTTAAGAGAAAAGGAATGTTATTAGCCAGCTCAAAAACTGTGACTGCTGTAGAAAAACGTGCAAGCAAAATATCTTCAAAGAATACCATGCAACATCCCTGGAGATGTTCAAAAAACGTTTAGATGTGGCACTTCAAGACATGGTTTAGTGGACAGGGTGGCATCAGGTATACGGTTGGACTTGATGATCTCTGAGGTCTCTTCCAACCATAATGATTCTATGATTCTATGATTCTATTTACCTCTACAGTTTTCTCTGGTTAATCTGTTCTTTGATATAGGGAAAATATGTGAATGCTGGAGATCTCTTGCATCATGGGTATTTCTGGATAACTTAGTTCTCAGAATAATAAACAGGTAAGATCTTCACAGCAGGTGGAATACGATAACCTTGCCTACTGAGTCTGTGTACTCCCTGAGCTTTTTCAGTGGCTGGGTTAGATCCAAGTCTCACCTTCTTCAATCTCCCTTTTTTGAGGTCTCAAGAAGCATCAGAGGCACTTTCCTCTGAAATTTTATTTTGACTAATTAAACAAAGAAACAAGTAAGCATGGGGAAGGACTTGCATATCTGCTACAGAACTGGTATGTATTTTGCTATCTTCCATTTACCATGTCTGTGACACAGTTTTCCTTGTTTAAGCCAGCAAGTCAGATAGAAAACAGGCAAAAATCAGTATTTCCCTATTTTTTCTCTTGGAAACGGATCCTTCTGTTGTCCAAGTACCTATATGTGTAATGTCCATCAGTCAAAACTTTGGTGAAAAGATGTTTTCAAAGTACTTTATGAGTAATCAAATTTCAAAACATTTACTGCAGGATGGGAAAAACAAAAGTAATAGGAAAAAACAAACATTCTGTTTTTCACAGCATGGAAACTCTTACTTTCTCTATGTACTCTTCTTTTGCTCCCTCTTGAGATGAATGCTAACATTGCTCTAAAAACAAAACCTCTCACAGAAAAAAAAAACAACCCGCACATTATTTGTTAAACTGAGCCACTGAAACAACTTACAGAATCTTCAATTACCTTGGTCAAGCTACCTACAAAAAACACTGGGCTTCAAGTAAAATAGTAACAGAGGCTTAATTCCTTTTTATACAAAGAACGTTTTAAAAAATTTCTGTACATATATAGAAAAAAATTATTCTCATTGTCTCACTATGCTGTGTGCATGTGCAACTATACAGGTACATAGATTTATAATAACAGCTTGTACAAACATCTATAGCAATGTTTCGGTCTTTGATTCCAGGACAAAACACACTTTTCTAAAAAAGGATTTGGGAGTATAAAGTTTACATTTTCTGTATTTCTTGAAGACAGCAATTACTTTTAATGCATGAACAGTTGCTACTTACATTAACTTCTGTTATAGCAATATCAACGACGCTACCAACAACAATTAAGGCATCAAAAGTGTTCCATGCATCAGTGAAATAGTGCTGTTAGGACAAGCATTCAGCAGAAAGAGAGCAAGAGAAAAACACAAACAGAAAAAGAGAAGAAAAGGACAGTGTTATAACACAGAAACACTCTAGGCTTCTCTGATGTACCACTATACAATCTAATCTTTCCCTTTCATAGCTAAAAAAAAATTGGCAGAAAAAAAAAGGCTATTTATTTCCCATATCAACATAATCGACCTATGACTGGTCTCTACTCAAACTTTAGAAACATCAGATCAAAATCTGTGACTTGTCCAGATGATGGAAATAGTGGGGAGACAGAGAAAGAGAAGTAGGGACTGGGGAAAGTAAGCTGGGGTATACTCACATCAGCTTCACTGAGAACGACGTCTACTATGCTGCCAATAACGATGAGGGAGTCAAACGTATTCCAGGCATCACTAAAATAGCCCTGAACAGAGCAGGCAGGGTGCAAACGTTTGTGATTACACATGAAATGTCAAATATTTGCATACTTCTGTTTAGTTTTGCATAAACAGAAATTAGTTAAACAAAACCTGTGGTCTAATGAGAAAACAAAACAAAACAAACAATATTGCCTACTGAAGGAAAAGCAACACATATGTGCATGTGTGTGTATATATATACTTCATATATATACATGTACAGACACACACACAGACACACACACGCGCACACACACACAGAGTACACATGCAAAATACATTGTTGTATAAGCACAATGTTGGCAAGCAAGCCATCATCCAAAATTGATTTTGGACTTCTAGAAAGGCTGAAAAATTCTAACATATATACCCTAACAAGCATGACAAAATCCCTTTAAAAATTTCTACAAGGCCAAGCCAATTGAAACCTCCTTAACATTAATGACTTTATGATAGTCCTATCGAAGTGACTGGTAAAAATATTCAAAGGGTCAAAGCTCATCACTGGTTAATCATGCACAATTATTAACGTGGAACTGTGCATAAATAATAGAGAACTGACTTAACCTTCTATTATAAACTAGGTTTAATATAGGAAGTTGTACTACATTTGTAGTCAGGGTCTGATTCTGTAACCAGTGAAGTCAGTGCTAGGAAGCATAGCAACTTGAACAATTTCTTAATGCTGTTAATGCAGCCAGTCCAACATCTGAAAATCCATTTTCATAATAAACTGCTTAGTCACCATTCTGACATTTCTGGCTTTAAATATATTCCCTATGTGTATGTTACTAGCACACTGCTGCAAATGGTTATAGAGTGCTATCAGGCAATTAGCTGTCTATTGGCATCAAAACTGCATGTTTGAGCAAAAAGATATTTCAGAAAAAACCATGAGTTTTTTTTCTAGAATCTAGGTTCTAGAATCAATCTGTCACTGGGAACAAATCAAGATGTATTACTCTGTTGAAGGCGACTCTACGGAGACAAGATATGTAGATTTTCTGCAATATATAGATTTTGCCTAGTAATTACAGAAATTCAGAATTGCAAAAATTACTGAACTTGCACTTTTTTCTCATTCAGATGTATTAACATATCAGCGAACCATGACTAAGGAATGTGCATTACATGACAAAGGCTGAAATGTACATTTTGTACATGTACATTTTGCTTTCCTGGTAATTAATTTAAACAAACTAACTTGTCAGCCACTATTGAAGCTCTAAAAAATAAATTTAGCAAAAAGTTTAAAATTACATGTGTCCTAATCTAACCTTATGTCTAGTTACACTTATTATCACACTGTTTACTATAAGATAATGTTTTAGCTGAGTAGTTTGTTACATGTGTTGTTAGCACAGAAAAGCAAAATCAGCTACAAAATTTTTTAGAATTGGGCAATACTTTTCTCCAGATTTTAAACTGTCAGAATTTCTAGTAACTTCACAGTCTAAAGGTTACACTTCAGTGCATTACTATTTGAAAAAAAGCTAATTTAATGTGGAAATTTTCTCTTGGAGATTACAGGAGCGGTGTTACTGAAGAAGACAGCTCTACAGTGTATTCTAGGAGGGCGAGCACTTGAGCAGAGTCAGGAAAGCCTCATTATGTTTCTAATGCTACTCTCTTTTAGCTCTTTTAAAACAGAAATTGCTATAATCATTCTGTTATTTAAAGGAATGGGCTGTAAGAGGAAAATAGATCAGAGTATGATTATCACTACAGCCCTTTGTGTCACATGCTTTGGTCCTTTGGGATTAATCATCAATTCCGGTCTTGGAGCAAAAGCCAGTTTTCATAGATTTGGTCTCCTGAACAAATGCATCCATTTCTGAGAGCTCCTGCACAATTCCCTATCGCTCCGTCCTTACTCGTCCTGCTTCACGAGAACAAGCCATTCCCAAAGTTTCTACTAAACATCATGCTGAACCACCTCAATGATACTGAAATTCATAATCCTAGAGAGATTAGCAGCTGCCAACTAAAGAAGGGACCTACTCTCATAATATTCTTCCTGATCATTCATATTCCTTATTTCTCATATTTAAAAGAAGTATCTTTCTTGACTTTAAAATAGCGATATTTATATATATACTTAAAACAAGAGACTATTGGCAAACAGTAAACAGATAATCGGCACAATCCTGAGGTGTGCTATCTATCTTCCGCTACAACAACGGAAACCAAAAAAGGGCCTCCAAATAAAGGTTAATTTCAGCTATAGAAAAACTTTACTAGACATGCTACAATATATGGCACTGAAATAACAAATTCACATTTTGATTCAATACAGCTAAAATACACATTTATTTATTTTATGAAACCTTTTCCATCAGTATAGACAAATATTGTTCAAGTAATATGTAAAGCAAAAGCATACAAATAAACAAAAAAACTAAGAGAAAATAAAGATGGTTTTGGAAAAGGGAGGAATGGACAAGTCACAGCAAATAAACATCATGCAAATAAGTTGTTTTCACCACTGCAATGACCCAAGATCAATTCACTTACTAGCCATCTTTCCTTTTTTCTTACAAAAATCTGATGTAAAACGACATGGAAAATCATTACATGTTTAAGTAACAGCTAGCTATCATGAAGCTGTACACACAGTGTGTGTTGATGTATTATTTTAGATTTCATAGCTGTATTTTGTTTTGTGTTGTACTAAAACATGCTAAGTAACAGATTTTAGCAAATGTGAAGAAGAATGTGAAGAAAAAATGCCAGCTCTTTTAACTTACATTATGAAAAATTTGTTCATTGAGAAATGCTGAAGGATAAAATCACAAATCCTGGGGAATATGTAGGCATAGAGAATTAACACCAAAATACGTTTCTATAGATCTACCACATAAATATTTTAGTCCTTTTAGTACTCTCTTGAAAAGTTTAGGGCCTCATTCTGCAAAGTACTGTGTGTTCCAACCTCCCAGTCAAGAAGTGTGCCGGACACTCAGCACCACCTTTAATATCTGTAACTTATCCAACTTTTACATATTTCCGAGCACTCTGCTCTGAAGGCAGTCTGCAGTACCTTGGTTTTAAACAACACAATATCATAGTAAGAGTATCAATAATTTATAGTAGCCTTTAGTTTGCATGACCAGCAAAACCAAAAGATCACAGTTTTTGCAAGGCTTTTGTCAACATATTAAGGGGACACTGTCAAGCAGATGAGATAAAAACTAACATGTTTTTATCTATTCTTATTTTTACAGAGTGAGTAACAGAGTTTTTATGTGATGCTTTGAGCATCTTTGAAAAAAATTTTTAAATGCACAAAATTAATAAATAAAACTGTCCGTTTGCCAGACTAGACTAAGAAATCCACCAGTGACACAAACATAGAGGAAATGAATCAGTCCTTCCTCACAGACCCTGAAGCAAAACATTAAAGTTGGGTTACAGATTGTTCCTACTACTATTAAATCTTAATATGAGTTGAAGCAATTAATTGTTGTTTTAAGTAAGTACCTAGTTTAAAATTTAGATTACTAAAAGATGTCACATTGTGCTTAAGATTGCTACCTGATTTGCAACTACTAATGAACTATGTAATATATGTTGCCAATAAGTTAAAGAGACAATTTAAAAAGTTACAATCTCCAAAGAATATCAGGAACAATCTTAAAGATATTTAACTCCCTTCCCTTCTTGCTAATTAATCTCTGCCAAAAGTATGATTAATACCATGGCTTTTTAATTTTGTCCTGCTAATTAACAAGTCTAAGGTGTTGTCATCTGTCTGGGGGCAAAATTCAGGAAATGAGGACCTTTCACTGACAGTGTCTGCCCTTCAAACTCTCAGGATTCAGATCCAGGGACCTCTCACAGTGAAAGCATCCAATCAGATAGAAAACATGTTGCTACAGAGTTAAAACTCAAATTGTACAAAGTCTTAGAGACCAGTATTAAGACATTGCATTTGATAATGAGGAGGAAGTCCATAATACAAATGGAGCACTGTGATTTACACACTCATGATCAGACCACTATATTTTGCATTAGCTGCTATTTCTGACTACAGTCACAAACGCATGGAGAACCATACAAGGATTCACAATCTTCTTTCAAAGAGCAGATGATAAAAAGCAGGAAAGTCTTCTGAAACTTCAGTGTGAAACAAGGATATAGAACAAGGAATACAAATCAGGAAACACAATCAGCATACTCATGACACTGTGGTCCACGTATCTGAGCTATCTCCTCTGGGGCCTCATATTGTGTTATTTTTAATGTGAAATCCTTAGCATTTCAATAAGATAGGTGACACAAAAATACAAATAAATTCGTTAGAAATGTACAATGGACTGGACACTGCAGAGCGAGACTATGGGAGAGCGGGTAAGGATTCACCCAGAACTCCACATTTCACATCTCAACACCAGACCTCAAGTGACATATTATTTTTTTACTTCTGCAGGTAAATACAAGCTTTAAATCAAGTAGCTCAGGCTCCACAGTTGAGCTCATGACTAAATGCAAGCTGAATAAACAGTTTTGAAAAGCTGGAAAGTAGTTATACATTGACTCCACGCTGAGCTCTGGGCAGCCATGCCTATGTTGCCATAGGTATGAGAGCTAGCTTGTTTAAAGCAAGAGTAAGATTGCCCAGATTGCCCACACAGCCTACAGTCATCCAGTTTGCTATTTAACACCGAGAAAGGGCACAGTTCACAGCCAATTACAGATGCAGATATCCTGATTACTTTAAAAGAAGGGTAATGGAAAATCAAAAATATCAGCCTTAGATGGTGAGATCAGTAAACTTCAAATGGCACGTCTGGCTTTCTTAAAATTCCATGTATAGCGAGTGACCACACTTTACTTATTTACATAGATACAAGCCCAGAAAAAACATTGATTTCATTGTACTGAAAACAAAATTTAGTTTACTTTTTCATTATTAACTTTTGCACTGTCATAAATGCAGTATGAGAACTGAACAAAAAGACTGCATTAACTGCCACAGTCTGATTTTAATCTTTTTTTTCAATGAGTAATTATAGTTATCAGTTCCTCTTGCAAATCTACTTTTGAAAATGTGTCTGCATTATTCATTTTGACAGTGTCCCTTTAAGGCAAGGAATCAACTACTCACTGTGCGGCCTTCTACCAAATATTGTGTATGTATAACTGAAAACATAAAAATCTAAAAAGGTTATTGAACATGCAAATTAATTATGTTTGTAGTACTTGGCTATATTTCATAAAGTAAAGAAATAATTTTGCATTTTAGAATACGAAATACAGCTTGTCTTTACTGGAGATTAATTTAGTGTAATATTATGAATGTAGTACCATGAATAGGAGAAGTGGTAATGCTTACAACAGGAAATGATTTATCTGATTTATAAAGGGACATTTCCATTACCTCAAAACATTCCAGATCTCATCAACCACCTTGTAACATTTTTTCTGCTATCTGCATTTCAGTTCCTGGAGTTACATACATACATATTATCAGATTAACATTTCTATTGTGATTTCACTGACAGATCAACCGTGGGAAATCTAGGTTCTTTTTGTTCTTTGAATAATACATAGCTAGGTGAAACTTACGTTATACTTAATTACTGTGGTGATGACCTAATTAAAGCATACCTAAAACTTACCTTGGGTTTGAATGCAATCAGTTTCAAAACCATTTCAACAGTGAACACTCCTGTGAAAACCATATTCATAATGTCCATTGCATCATTAAAGAGCTTAGACTGTCCATAGTGCTGTGAATGAAAAATACAATACTTTTAAAAGTAAAGACTTTAAAATATTAAGTGAAAGTAAGGCAGCCTAAGATAAAGTTGGCAAAAATGCCGCACAGGAAAATATTTTCTAGTAGTATTTCTGATGCATACCTATGTACATACAAGACTAGCTGAATATCTCTGGTCAAGAATGGAGTTGTTTAAATCTATTCTGTTTAGACATTGAGCAGAACAAAATTGTCATTCCTCTCCATCCTAAGAGATTCCTCTCCATCTCCAGAGAGATGGTTTTGAGAGGAAAACTGTTCGCTCAAAAAAGGAGTATTAGACAACAGTAATTTACCAGGTTTTATATGCTAGGTTTCAAAATTATGTAACCTTGTGTCACACCTGCTTAGAAAGCCTGCGGTACGTTAGTCACAGAATAACATATATTGTGTAGGAGTGATATTTTTACCAGGATAGTCTGTATGTAAGTTTACTGAAAAAACCAGAATGGTTTTGTAAACTGAATTTGAACCATTCTTTTTCTTATCAAAATCTGAAATACTAGGGTAAAGAAAGAGACAACTTGGGAAAGTAGGTAAGAGAAGTAGGTGGCAAAGAACAGCACGCATAACATAGAAAAAGTAAAAACATGCAAAAATACACACAGATATATAGATATACAGCTAATACATAAAAACATGTTTGCGTGAGGTTTGCATTAACATACAAAACTAGAGTTGTTCGATATATTAGATTTATAAGCTTCTGAAGAAGCATAGAAATATCACAGAATGGTTTGGGTTGGAATGGACCTTTAAAGATCATCTAGTCCAATCCAACCAAATACGGAGTAGTACATATACAAAATGAACACAGAACAAGTACAGAAACTACACAGAGGTGTAGTAATGCTTAAAGGTATTGCATAAAAGAACATATTAGAAAAAAAGAATCTAAGGAGTTGAAAGAAACTTTTGCTAACAAAATTAGACTTTTCAGATTTTCTTGCATGTGGATAATCTTGGGAATACACACATATAATATAAACTAAATTACACTGCAGGTACAAAAGAAAACACAAAGAGTTACATTAGGAAGACCTTTATCAACACCAAGCTGTTTTAAACGATTTTACTTCAGAGAACTGATGAACAGACTAGAACACGTCACAGAAGAGTACTATGATCAAAGGTGCTTTTTTTTAAATTTCACTTCGTTAAAAAAAATATAGGTTGCCATAAATTAACGGCATTATATCACCCATATCTGTCCCTGCAATTTATGCCAACGGCTTCAAAAGAGCTTCTGGTTTTCCTACCTGCATAGCCAAGCAAAGTGTGTTCAGCATGATGAGAACAAACATGATGTATTCAAATCCAGTAGAATTCACCACATACCAGAACTTGTACTGGTAAGGATTTTTTGGAATATATCTACGAAGAGGACGTGCCTTCAAGGCATATTCTACACACTGACGCTGTAAAAGCAAACACATCAAGAATTGTCAGACTATACCTAACAGTTAATCAACTGGTAATATAATTAATAACTGCAAATTGTTAACTATAAGTCTCAAAAACAGGCAATTTATCTACTTGATGTAGGGTTTTTTTATTATTAAGTGTTAATAAAGTAATCAAGTAGCTTACCAATCCTCACTTGGTGATTTACTACTGTATCTAACCGTACACACAACTCAGCCACATGTGAAGAATCAAGTAATGCTTATGGAAATTCTGAAGTGTCTCACCTTTCTACAGTGTAGTAGTATACAGTAGACTGTATGTATGTATATGCATAGTATACAGCATGACTATTAATAACATGACTATTAATTAATCTATAAGTCATGCTTTGTCTTTACTAAGTTTTCAACCACTCATGTAACTGCATAGCGTAAAACCCTTGAGTCAGCAAAATAAATACTGAGGAAGTGTTATTTCTAACAGTTCAGTTAAATTGCCCAGCAAAATCATGTCACATATGTAGGAACATCATAGATTCAACTCCTACTCTATTAGTGCCTGAAATCTTCATGTAGGCCGGGCCTTCCACTTGTCTTTTGAAGAATGCTTACGAAAGCTGACTGTCAGGGCACAAAAAGCAGAATGAATGCTGGCTAAAGTTTTATGCTTAATGTTGTTTAAATGAAGTGTGTTAACAGTTGGACAAGAGTACCAGAAAAATCGTGACTGGTGACTGATGAGTTTTTCAGTCAAACGTTTAAACAGTAAAAGAGGATAGATTTTTAAAATTTGAATCTGAATATCCCCTGTGAATTTCTAAAAAATGGGGGGCAGGGGGCAGGGAAGAAAAGAACATTTTGAGCACTTTCACTTTGAACACTTTCAGATGATTCAGAACACAAAATTTATTTTCCTGCTCTTATTGTAAAAGCTACCTCTGCCAATGGATAAGCTGGCAAGTGCTGGATTCTTCTTCATGTGACACCAATAAGTGAGACACTAAGAACCTAACAACCTTAATGTAACAACTTACACAACAAAAAGACTGATATGATTGGCTAACAGAAAGAGGAACCTACAATGACCTGAATACCAGTTGATAGTATTTACTAATTCCTTTTTTTTTTACTAAGATATGTGTTTGGTGCCCTCTTCTGACCCAAAGCAGAAAGGAAGCTCTTCATGCATAAATAAAAACATACTTTCAAAAGTTAAGAGTCCATTATTTATTTTAACCTGATTTTTGTCCAGCTCACAGTTCTTATACTCTTGTTCTCCCTGTTCTTGGAATGTAACAATCACAAAACCAACAAATATGTTCATCATAAAGAAAGCAATAATGATGATATAGATGATGAAAAAAATGGAGATCTCCACTCTATAGTTGTATACAGGTCCTACATTCTCGCCATTTGAATCAATGGCTTTGTATAGCAGCCTGAAAAATAAATAATAAAAAAAAAATCTTTATTAGCATTAAAATGGCAAAAGAGAATAAAACATGCAGACTCAGAGGACAGGTTTCAGAAACGGTCTGCTGTTTACTGTTATCTTTTTCTAGTTACTGACAGTGCTTACAAGCATATTGAAACCAGAAGAATCACACCACACAATGTTATATAGTTTTTACCAAAAGAATCAAGGTAATGACCAGATGGTTGTATTTTTTATTTCCACACTCCACCCCACCCCACCCCACCCCCCGGGGCTGTCCTCTAAGACTTTTCTCATTTAGGGAAACAGCAAGTGGTAGTTTGTTCTTTCTGGGTTTCTCTATGCAGTGTAATATTGCCTGATTTTTTAGTAAAAGTTTTACTCGAAGGCCTAAAGTTTTCATATTAGTATTATTTAAAGGGTATCAATGGATAAACATCTAAAAGGATTACTTCCATTAGAGCTAAGGAACAGCTCATTATAGCAAAAGTAGCTAAAAGATTAGGAATCAAACAACATTAAAAAAGTTTGCCTTTATAGATAGAGGTGAATGAAGAAACACAGGAAAAGTGCAGAGATTCAGAAGTACAGTAGGTTTTTTTCCTTCCTCCATTAATAAGTTTTTATACCATCACTTAAGACTACTTTGTTGCCCAAAAACGCCTGGTAAATGATAGCAAACTGTTCTGGAAAATGTAACCATCTTAACAATGCTGTGAAAACATGGAGAATTCACTCACGCTGGCCAGCCTTCAAAAGTGGATACTGTAAAGAGGGCCATCATAGCAGACAGAACATTATCAAAGTTGAAATCACTATTCTGCCAGACCCTCTCTTTGACCATTGGATTATCAACATCTCCATCTTTATAAACGATGTATATCCCTCTGTGGGAAAGAAACAAACTGTCATTAGTGAAATATTAAATTACCCTCAGAGTACGCAATGCTCTATTCAAAACAGTTTATTTCACTTCCTCCCTAAGCTTGTTTTATTTCCTTGCTAAACCTGTGTTTTCTGGTGGATTTAAGATGACGATTCCAATTTACACAAACCTAAATGGCCTGACACATTCATGCCCATATCTGCGGCAGTTTAAATTATTCAGAATAGAATGTGTCACATTCTTAGATCAAAGATGTTCTCACCGGCATTCC